CCTCTACCAAATTTAAGTGATCATACATACAAGGGTGAAAATGTTTCACTAAAGGGAACGTTTATATTAAAGAAATTAAATACTCAAAGAAACAATGCAGTAGTCCAAAAGATCTTGGTAAATTCCCCATATATTAGAGGGACTTACAAACTCCCTGGTGAAGGTATGTTCCTGTTCCAGAGCATCACAAACATTTGGTTAGTTGTCACCACCTGCCTGTACAGTTGATGGGACGGTGAACAAGGTATAAAATGTCAAACATCTTGATGCCTACTCTGTTGCCTTCATCTAAGCTCTGAAATGGCTATATATCACTACTTAGCTAACATCACCTGGGACCTGCTTTATATTACCACTGAATACAGAAGTATATTCGGCAATACTTTTAATTGTCAAAAACTTTAAAATCCATGTTTGTAGATTCAGTATTTTCAAAAGCCAGCACTGTTATAACCCTTCAACACTAATGAGTTTAAGCTTTAGAGGCTGCAATTTTACCAGTCCAAAGGAGCTGGTAAAAGGTGCACGGGAGACATACCAACACCGGGCAGATACCAAAAAGASAGCAAGTAAATGGTAAGGAAGCCTCTTTGCTTTCCTTTGCAGTGTTAACATTTCCTGTTTTATTCAGTCAAGGAGATGGAAGTAACTTTTCAAATCAATTAAAAAGATGTTTTCAGCTCACTCAATAACTTCCAAACCCTTGTGAGACTGGTAACAATATGGCACTAATTTGCCTACTCTGTGTCTGTCTTTACAGCTGAAAAAAATGTGAAACACCTTTTTTTGATAAGATTATCTTCAATTTTGTGGCATTATTTCCCAAAATATGGATATCCAGTGACAGGTTTCAGAAAGTTGTGCCAATGTTACTTTCCTGACTTACTAAACAGTGTGACTGAGGTTCTCTACAACTTTTTAGCAGAGCTGTTAAGACTGGCATGAGYGTGGAATGAATGGAAAAGAGGGTGTGCGAAAGCACTGGGAAAAACAGCAGAACAAGGGTTAAAAAGAACAGTATCTACTGATAACAAAGTACATGGTTTCCAGGAGACGTCTCCCAGGACACTGTTCCCAGCAGTGAAACTGAAGCATATGTTTGGTTTTTTATGCCAATGCTGCACTCGGGAAGGCCCCTGGCACTGAGGATTCCAGTGGAAGATCATCCACCATCCTAACACGAGGAGAGCCCCAACGAGGCTGCAGGGTATCACGTACATGGTTTCCTGATGGCCCACCAAGGGAAGAAACACACGTTTCAAATAAACAAGCAAAACCAGGGGAGCGGAGTAAGATTTACAGAGACTGAAGTAAGTGTGAATGCGAAGCAACGGACTGCCCCATAATAACTGCTGACTCCAAGTTGCTACAAAGGAAAAAAAAGTCCCTTGCCCCAAATCCAGCTTGTTGCCTGACATGAAGAACACAAGGAGGGTGAGGAGGGTCAGCTGAGTGCAATTTCTGTGCTCTGGGCTGGCCCTGACTGCTGTTGGGCTCATCAGCTGGGTGCCATGGGCAAATTCAGTGAATAAACCCATGGGAAAGCAGTAAGAGCAGGCGCAGCGAACTCACTGCAAAGTTTTGTAAAACTCTCTCCTTTCGTAATACCTTGCTCTGAGCTCGTTCTACTGCTTCTCTTCTACCAAGAGGAATGCAGGTCATGGTTTTCTGCTTTGTCTCCAAAGACCAAACCAACAGGAATATAAATCTTTGAGAGGTAAGAAGACAGAAAGTGAACACAGTAAGGGAAAGACAGCAACAATGCCAGCTTCTTGAACAGCAACGTATTTTCATTTCAGCTGCTGCACCTTTTTATCTTATGTCACCAAACTGTGTTGAAAATTTAATTCATGAAAAGCATTTACCAAAGATCTGCAAGAAAAAAAAATCTCCTTTTTCCATTCCTGAAGTAAGAGTAATCAGAATATACAGTTCATAGGATTTTTACAGATTTTTATCACGAAAAAAAAAGACACATTAAATATTCACAACGTGGGCTAATTAAAGGCTACTGGAGAATAGCAACATATCAATAGTTAATTATTAGAGTATTTTTGAGCTCTGCATTACTACTTATCTGCATCTTTAGCTTCTCCTTGTATAAACAGCTGTTTCTGTCACAGATACCAAAGCTATTAATCACCACTCTGCAAATACTAGTCAAAAGACTGTAAGATATAAAATACCAGGTGGTGAGGCACACAGAAAGAAAGGAAAAAAACATACCTGAGCTCTGAATTTAACTGACTGATAGTACTAGAGTGATACACAGTTTTTCCCACTACAGTATTACAGAATATCTGACAGATACTCCAAGCTGTGAAACTGAGCCTATAGATGGACCCCTATTACCCCATATATAAGAGATAAATTGCCAATAAAACATTTAAATCACAACTGGCAGATCTGGAGAAGGATTATAGCATCCAAAACACAAATTAAGACGTCTAAAGCCTTACTTTGTGTCTGTGGCAGTGTCAACTAACCTCCTTCCAAGGCCCGGGTTAACACCCCAGGAGCAGCCTGAGCTGCTTGCAGTTAAGATGCAGTTATAAAACATGGGTTATCCCATCCAAGTCCTGTGTGGTACCTCATCAGCCAGTGCTGCCCGGCCAGCTGGAGTCAGGTCAGCCGGATATACTTAAAATACTGGCCGTCTAAACTGGCCAGGTTAAACCTGAAGCAGAAGGGGGCAGGAGCGGTGCCCAGGAGAGGGTAAGGAGGAACACCTACCAGCTCTSCTCTGACTGATGCCTTCAGCACACTGACAGAGGATGTCAAACCGGCAGGGTGGGGAGGGAGGTGTTCGCAGCCAGCCTGCAGAAGCACAGGTAGGATGAGATGCAGTGGCACTACTTGTGCTTCTGATCCCCACACAACAGCAGGACACAAATCGAGAGAGAGACTTTACAAAGCTCTTGCTTCCTCCTAGGAACAACAGTTTTGGTACCAGCAACGCAAGGATTTCAGTGTAAGAATTTAACAGGAAGGGATCAGTGAATGCAAAGAAATTTAGTTTCTTTCCGTTTCAAAGAACTGCAAACTCAAACTTCTGTCTTGCAGGGAGTAACAACAACAACAACAAAACGTCGAGCAGAAAGGAAATAATTCTATTGAGGGGTTGCAGCTCTTTATTTCTGATTCATACATATATATGTACATACAATGACACTAGGTATCCTTGTATTGCTTAATCCTAARTCAAATTGGCATAGATATTTTAACAAAAGAAAACAAATTGCAACTGTTAATTTATACTTGATCTGGGCACTCTGACACACAGTAGAAAAAACTGTTTATAAAAGATTATATTTGAGCATTTATATGTACTATATTCTTCTTCCAACAAATTGCTATTAATTAATACATTACTGTTAGTAGAATATATAATTGCCATAACATTAAAAAATCTTTTTTTCTTCCAAATACATCAATATGCAAAGATAATCTTTTCTTTCAACTGTTCATCTTTTTCTTTCAACTGTTTTCACACCATCACTCTGATGCCCCATGTTATTTTAATGTGATATTTGGCTTAAATAAACTCCTCAGATTGCCACTATCAGTCTGTCCAAATTAATAAAATTAATTAATGCTGTTCAGTAATTCCAAACAACACCTGCATAATGAAATTCACCTCTGAGCTGACATCTGCCACTAAGACTACAAACCACTTTTACTCCATCCATTTAGGTCTCAATGAATGCATCGATTTATGCTAACCCTCTCTGCCTAGCAGCAAATTTCACATTCAGCAAACACTTCGCTCACCCATAGTGTAACACAAGTCAATCTAGGTTCATTCTAGGTGGCTTAAACTATAGGTCTACAGAAGATGTGACTTCATGCTACTAATTGCTGTAATAGTTCAGATCTAGGTCAAGCATAATTAGTATCTGGAAGTTAACACAAATATTAATTTCTACATAAAGTATTATCTCCAGTATATTAAGTGGCAGGACTGTAATAAGGCAGACACAAGCCGAGGTTCAGGTATCTGAGGAACTGTGCAAACTACCAGATCCTAATCTAGGGCATGATAARGTCGGGTTATGGAGCAGCAATGATGGTGAGCAGGATTGGGCCCTTCCCCTGTGAAAATTAACCAGGAACCGACAGAACGGTGTGATAAAACTCTCTAAGCAGGGTGACAGAGACACAACACACTGGCTCTCAGCACAAAACAGGCAGTACGGAGGTGCAGATATTTCACTTTTTATGCTGACAGGTAAAAAAGCATTTGGCAACTTTTCATCTTTCTGACACTGTTGTCAGTCTTCGTTAGAGCAGCTGAACTACAGGGCGCACCAGGATGGACGCCTGCAGTCTCCCTTCTTGCAAACATACAATACAAAGCGGCAGATAAAATCTGCRAACTGCAGAATGGAAATACCAGTAATTTAAAAGAAGGGCAAAAGTAATTTTCACTCCTAATAAAAGTCAACATTCYACTGTCCTGCCTTTTTCTTAAAATTCATTCCCTGGAGAATGTTGGTTCGTTTTCTCCTGAACTAAGAACATTGGGGTTAGATTTAATGCACACATAAAAATAAGAATGAGCAAATTATCTTGAATAGTTACTTCTAAGATTTTTTTTTTTTAACAGAGAAATCAGAGAATCCACAAATGGGGGTTGGATCGTGTGCACGTGCTTGTGTGTTAAGGGAAGAGAAAGGTTCATCCCGTTCTAGATGCTTCTCTTTTTTAAAGGAGATAAGCAGAATTAACTTTAGTATTATTTTGCACTCCTTTGCAAAAGAATTGTCTGAGACATTGCACACTAATTTCCATTTGAGAATCAAGACTTAATTGCAGCATTTTCCACATCAATGTTCAGGACAGCAGCAAAGAAATGTTGGGGGATTTTTTTTGTTTTGTTTGTTTTGTCCTTTTTTTTGTTGTTTTTCTCTTGTTTATACTCATGTGTACCATGATACAGACAACAAAATACATTTTAACACTTATTTTCTGATCCTAAATGTGCTCTGAAGAATACTTCGACATTCATCCCTAACAAATGATCATGACATCCAACTGTAGATTTATSTATCTAACCTTCAGTTTTTAGTAAAACGTACTAAGTATTTGTTCCACATTAACAGGATTATTAGCTTTTAATATGTGAGTGAGGATGCCATTTTAAGACTTGTAACTTAAAAAAAAAAAGTTCTGGAAAAACAAGTTTAGTAAACCATCAATCAGAAAACAATGTTCCAAGGCTTTCATAATACATTGAATTTGTCATAATACGTGTCAAATGTTTGCAGGATTGGCTGCTTTTTACACAGGTTTCATAAAAAAAAAACCTAAATTATTAAAATAAAATTCATTTCAATTAATCACTTGTCCCCTGGAAAGCCTCTTTAATGACCAGTGTTAAAATATGCTAGTTTTTGCTATGGCCAAAATCAAAAGCCAGTAGGGTTAAGTGAATATGGAGACTTTTCAGATAGCAAGAAACAGACTCATTCAAAAAAAAATCCTGTATTATTTCTTGAATTCTTTTAAGAAATAAAGCTGTAGTCAGTCTGCRAAATTAACTAGGTTAATAATATTTGTTGTAATAATAACTGTTCTGGTTTGTTATACATCAACATTAATACGCTGAAAACAAAACTGAAACTACACCCTTACTGACTCACTGACGAGGCACATCATTGGTAAAATAGCACAGTATTTTTAAACAGAAACTGCACACACTTATATAAACCAATGTTAAATGACAGAACATTCTTAATCCGAACTGTATTTCTGAAGACAACATATACAGCTAYGTCAAATTTTCTGCCGTTTCCATGGCAACAGGATTGGCCCTTTTGCTTTTCTTGGGTTGCTAAATGGCACCGAAGAACTGTAAAACAAATAAACTGAAYGAAACTGCCTACTTTATACCATGACCATGGGCATCTGGGTGTTGAAAGTTCACACAAATCCTCTTCTTCAAATGCCTGCAAGCAGTGCTTTTTATTTCAGGCTCATGTCCATGCTACATATTAAGAGAAAAAAAAAAAAAAAAAAAAAGGAAAAGTAAATCAGTGGTATGAGACACATTGCTACTAACTTTCCCTAATTTCAAGATGTGCAAAATATTAAGCACCTCATCTTTCACTTACTTTATGTAATCATTACTTGTGTATTTATATGCAAATATATTATTCACACAGATCCTATCTAAATTAAGTGGAAAATTCAGACCTTAACAGGCCCTGTTACTGTTTTCTTGAAATTAATAGCTATATTCCCAGCAACTCCATTATGTGTAGAATTAGACACTGGATGTGGAAATCAATAACTTATGGGTGCCTCTAAAAATATTTTTAGAACTATAGTTTTTATAGTTTTACCATTTAGTGGAAAGAACATGTTATCCAATTCCTTGCATGCATACTTTAGGATAAGAAACATCATAATCACCACACCAAAACACAATTTTCCCTCATAGAATTCAAACCTACATTTACATGGGTAAATTATGTCCTGTGAAGGTCACTACAAGCTACAGAACATGCAGGATTTTTCATTGTGTATTACTTCAGAACAATTTTTTTCAAATAGCCATCAGGTAATACAAGAAATTTTAGTAAATGAGAGAGTAGGAAATTAAACAAAAGTCTTTGGAACGGATATAAAAAAGAAAACTGAATCAACTGAGAGCTGGGCAGACTCCAGAGAGGTTCCAGCAGAAAGCATACAGAAAARGTCTCTGTAGAGATGGTGTCTGTCATCATTGTACTGGCATTTGCGAGGGAAGTCCTATTTTCCTTTTCCTTGGAGGAAAGGACACCATAAGTGAATGATATGACAACAGGAAAACTGTTGTCGCTTCTAAAGACAGACACTCTATTTTACAGGAAAAAAATAACAGTAATTAACATTCACGCTGCCCCAATCCTTACTTATTTAGGCTAAATAAAAATTCTCTTTTAATGTTGCTTATTGTTGCCCAGCATTTTTTGTTTAAAAAAAAAAAAAAGCTCATGCCACAAAAGGCCAAAAGCATAAGTAAATATTTTTTAATATGCTATTTAATTCCTACTGCCATATATTTACACTGACTAATGATAGCATCGACTGTGTCTGGGAAAAAAATGCGTAGTGTTTTTTGCCAATTGGTCTAATAGTTAACTTAGTTCTAGGTTCTGACATATGTGTGATTTTTAAACACAGGGACACTTTATTCAAGTATAGCTCTATTTGGGAAAAAAAAAAAAAAAGGTTTTAAAAAGCTCCATTTCATTCGATACTGCTCGATGTGACTGTTAGAATTATCAGATGCCTTTACTGAGGGGTTGGGATTGCCAGCGTGAAACAGCAGCACGCTTTGGGATGCCAGGGAGAGAGGGGTCAGCAGGAAAAACGGCATGGGAATGCTCCCACTTCCCAGGAGAACACTCCATTTTTTAAAGGTGGTGACAAAGAATGAGGAAAATAGTGTGGAAGAAGCTGGAAGGCACAGAAAGTAAAGAGWAAGAAGGCACCAAGGGCTTGATCCAGCACTCACAGGGAAGAGTTTTGCACTGACAGTTTGCTTAAGCTAAACTCAGAATTAGAGCAGCAAACTCATCACCTTTAATGCAGCAAATACATGTGGTCAACTTCACCCTGAAGTTCATACCTTCACCCATTACATAATGTACTTTTACTCTTTACCTTTCATATAATTTTACCTGAATATCCTCCTGGGTAAGAATTGTATCTCTCTCTGCTTAATAAGGGCCCACAAACATTTTTGCAATGTGAGTATAATAAACTTTAACTTCAGCACTTTTTCTGCATGCAAATATTGAATCAAGTTGTTGGGGAAAAAAAGGTGTTTTGGTCTCCAGGAGGTTTCATGGAGTCTACCCAGTCTCAGTTCCTAATCGCATGGTTGTGAAATAATGTTAAAATGCAATAATATTATCAGGCATAAATTCTTACTCCTGCTCCATTGAAGTCATTTCTGGATCATTTGTGAGGCAGCCAGTTCTGGGTGCAAGGAAGAAAAAGGCAGCAGTAAACATTTTTTTTTCCTTTTTTTTTTTTTTTCTTTTTAGATATAAAATCAAAAATGGGGGATGTAATATCTAACTGCAGTTAGACTCTGTGACCATACAAACACACAATCATTACTGATAGGAATGTAACAAGCTTAGTGCCTGCAACAGGGAGTAACTTGAGTAATACTTGCTTATAATTATTTTGGTAAGTTGAGGATGGGGAATGAAGTACAGTGACATCATACATTGAACAATAACAATAATCAGRGATGCCACATATGAATATTTAGTTCCTCTCCCACTGCTGTGCTGTAGCCTGCATCCTCTTAAAAGAGAGGGGTAACAAGAAAAGTGCTTATTTTCACACAGTATTTACTGTGATATACTGTAATGTATTTGAAAATATTTGAATAGAAGGGATACAAGTTGCATTTCATGGGTTGTTTTTTTTTTT